CTTGCGGAAGGGTTTGAATCTCTGCCACCCCCCGAAGCTCTGGCCAGAGCCATGGCGTTGCTGACAAGAAGGGAGGGATCTGGGAGTGCAAAACTTCACAACCGTCATTACAAGAAAAAGCCAAGCTCTTAGACTCTCACTTGCTTTGGAAATTTCCAAATGCTTGGTTTAAAGCAAGGCTTTAGGCTGCAGAAATCTTGTTTCAGGGGTAGCAGAAGCGCCATTTGTTACGTCTATTTTTGTGTTTATACGGCTCGTTGGGACAGCCAGGTTACGCGATGAAAGTTGCGTACAATAATAAGTCCTCCGCCATCTCCAGCCCCCCCAACACAGTGCCACCTCGCCTTCGACAATGGCAACGACGGTATGGAGCAAGAATTCGTTTCTACCCATTCCAGCTCGTCTGACTGCCGCTCGCCGGAATTCCCAAGTCTGTTCTGTCCTTATGTACCTGGGACTGTATTTATGCTTCATTTACGTAGTTTTGACGCGCGAAAACGTAAAAATATTTTTGCGACTAATTGCCTAAGTGCGCTCAGTTTTGGGGGCGCAAATACCAAGCCTGCTCGATGCATTGCAATGAGTTCGAAATTTTGTTTTGCGGCCTGGTTATCTAGCTAGGATGCAGACTTTTGTTGATATTTTGGTGTCGTAGCAGCACTTCTGCTACTATTCTCCGAGGATGCCGCTTAAGTTCATCCCGAATAACACGCTGCTCGCGAGTGTCGTTGTTCTCTTTGCAGTACCGTCATCGCGGCATGCAAGCAAGTTGAAACTTCTTGTTAATGCTACCAATTCGTGCGCTTTTGCTCATACTGCAAAATATTAAACCCTTCCGCACAGTAACGCAACGCTTGGTCCTTTTTCGCGGAGAAAATGATATAAATATTAAGGCAAATCTTCGCCTCTCTGTGCGGAGCAACGTAAAAAAAGTAGAAATAACGCTCTGAAAAAACAAATGCGGAGCAAAAAGCATAACGGTGAAATTTTCTGATGCGGAATGGTTTAATATTTCAAAGTATTGTCGCATAAGTTGTCAATGTATGCTAATGCATCCGGAGATATGAGCAGATGTTACTTGCTTTTGACCCGCGCAAATGCGCTGCACGTTCTCAATGAACCAGCGGCAACTGCCGAATTGTCCTTTACCATAGGATATTCAACCCTTCCGCATCAAAAGAATTAACATTACGCTTTTTATCCGATATTTTTGTCAGGGAGTTATTTGTTATTTTTTTCATTGCTCCTCAAAAACTCTACTTCCTAATAACGTATTAGAAGAGCTTTTCTGTTTTATTGTATTCTCCGCAAAAAGGGCCAAGGGTTACGTTGCTATGCGGAAGGGTTGAAAATACTACGGTAATGTTCCATTTATCCGTATCGCGATACGGATCGTCCAGCACCTCCGTCACATTCAATTTGGCTCTCATATAGGGCGACAAAGTCATCTACCAACCGGTGTCCGTTTCAGCAACACGCAGCTAAGCAACATACTATAAAGTACTGATCTTTGCAATCTAGCGTGATTGGAAACGTCTGGAAACTCCCCAGACACTCTCTGGTGCGCTTGAGGCTCAACGCTTTGGTGATTTGGCTCTCGGAGCTGTGCGACAAATTTGCACCTGCTGACTCGGAAATATGCAAAAACCATATTTATACGTAATTGCGAATAAGAAAAGAGCCACTCGCGCAGAGGCAAGTTCCCTGGTGCAAGTTATCAGGCATCATTGATCTGCTTGCAACACAGAATGCAAATAATGTGATATAAATAACTGTCAGCGGATTTTTTTTGGGATACATTGGACCCTGGATTGCCAGGGCGCACATAGATATCTGTGCATAGGAAATAGCACTTGATTTGCTTGATTCTATCGTGTGCTGGAAAGAATATATAAGGAAGCAATTTTTTCACTACGCAGGTGAAAGCAAGATAGGAAGCGGACGGCTACCCCATTGCCTTTTTATGTAAGAAAATAATGACGATGAAAGCAACGGGTAAGGAGCAAAATTTTCAAATGCATGATGAAACATGGAGGATTATTACATAATGAGCTCGAGCACAACAGAAGTAAAGCGTCGCCCCGCATTCCTGGTTGAGGGCGCGCAACACATAATTACCATATGAGCCACACCCATCATAATTTATAATCAACAAAATGAACATCGCTTCCGATACTTCTTGCACTTCTTGACGTATACATCAAGTCGACCTGTAGTTATCGACGTTGGCAGTTATGGATGCTGATTGGATGCTATCCTTCGATAAATGAACCTCCGTTTCGAGGCACCATTCCGTGGCGGTCACGCGGTGTGCTCTACCACAAGCGCTGCAGGAGATTAGTCCCTCGGCATCAATCTGCCACGCAAACGCAAAATTCATTATTTGGGTTGACTAATTAGCTCATTGCCTGACCGGGTCAACCACAGTCAGCGCTCCAAAAATTGCGTTCCGCAGTCGCACCAGCCCAAGATTCCACCAGGCCGCTGTACGCACGCAGCCTGGAGTTGACGAACGGCAGATTCACCGCCCCGGACCCATCCCCTGGGCCCCCCATCGGGCCCCAAGGGTCTAAACCCCCGAATTCTGGCGCCCCGCGCGCCGGGACCAAATCGCCAGAATGTCAGACACGCATTTGAAATTAAAAATTGAAATGGCGCGCAGGTCCCGTCAGCTTCCGATCAATTTCCCGAAGAGCGATGATCCTTTTTCTGGGGCACGCATGCGCAGCCGCGGCAGAGTCCACCACGGGAGAGTACGCAACTGCCGCACAGCTTCCCGCGGCGCAGCTTCCCGAAGAAGCTGCCAAATATCATCGCGCGTGACATGCGGATTCGGCTGAACGGATCCCAACGCCTTGGACTCAGCCGCATTCGCTTCCTTTTGGATTTGGCAGACGCTCGTCTGCGTGAGCCTGTTTCGAAGTTTCGTTGTGGCCCATGGGTCAGTTAGGTGGCATGGAGGTCGATCTGTAGCTGCCACCGGCGGCGCCCTTTGTAGGGCTCGGCTGGGATCTGCCTGCTTTGGGTGCCGGCCACAGAATGTGTGCTTGCAAAACGCTGGGTAAGCGCAAGCGACGTCTGTGATAGTCTATTACAGACCTTTTTTGGATTTAGCCAGGGCTTTTTGTACAAGCAATTTGCAAACAGAAACCTAATCTAAAAGCGCAAACATGTAATTTGCACAAAAGCACCTAATTTAATATATTTCAGGCACTACCACTGACAATGCCTGGAGCAGATTAAGTTGTGCGCAAATCTTTAACGCGTTTATGACGATTCAATATGCATACATATGTAGATATACATACACACGCACACACATGTCCTATACACAAGGCTCATGTGTCATGAGTGGAAAAACCAACGAATAGGGCCAAATTAACTGAAAATTATTGATCCCCACGTTGGCCTGGGTGCCATATCCACCAGCGCGTTGCAAAGGCATGCGCCCTTTGCAAAGGGGCGGAGACCTGTGCACATCTCCTACTTCACTAGGAAAAGTAGGGCCAACAACACGTCCTCAAATGTGTACAAAGTTTACGGGTTTGGATTATTTTCTTGTTCTTAGCATGCAGGACATTGATAAAATGCATTCCGTATGTGTTCACAAAAAGTGCTATTTGGTCCTTTTTCTGTTACTGGATGGCTCGTGCCCTTTGTGGCCAGGTACGTCGCTTGCTTGGGTACGGCACGCCAAAAATCGCTCGTGCGCCATAATTTTGCGTATTTTTCTGGCGGAAAACTTTCGCATGCTCAACAGCACTGCTGGGCGCACAGGTGCACTAAGTTTTTTCCCCGTGGCCCTGATTCCCCCAAAAAGTCTTGATGGGCGAAGTTTATTTCCCACCAAATTTATAGTCCAACCTTGTATCGGCCCTTCTTGTGCTACCCGTTCCTTGGTCCTGAGGTGAAGAAGGGGACAGCGGAGCTCATACAACCCATCTTGCCCATGCACCTGTCCACAACAATATTATGCCATGATGCCACAATAACAGCCTTCTGGATGCGGTGGTTTTTCAATAGAATGGTTCCAGTTATTGAGATAGCATAAACTAACTGTGATGGCATCAATTAGTGTCAAATGGCATTGCAGTGGGCATCGCAAAAACGCATTTTTTGTTGGCGCAACAGCCTTCCCCATGGCCATGGCAACGGCCACAGCGACACCACATTGTGGAGACCATGACGTGGGCCCTACTGCTCTACGCGTGGGCTTTGGCAACGCGAGCTCTGAACTGCAGTGGGAAAGAGCCGAGGTGCTCAAAGGCCTTGCCACACTGGGAAAGGAGGGCGTCCACACAATTACTTGACAGAAATTGACAGAAATTAGTTTCTGTCGGCTTAGACATGTCCGAGCACTCAGACTGGTTTGATCAACGCGCCTAATCTTTCAGAAGCCAGTAACAACTCTAGGAACAAAGTCGCGAACGAGCGACAAAAAAAGGAGCCTGCACTTGAATAAGAGAGTAGTGAATTAGGAACAAATAAGAAACCAGCAACAAACAGCAAACTGGGAACAAATAAAAACCAAAGTTGGCACAAAAGAACATCGGACCTCGTCAAACAGCGCAGGGAACGCCGTCGCGAGGCGGGCCTGCGGCTGTCCCCGCGCACGCCACGCGGCCCGCCGCCCACCAAGCCCCCACCCCCCTCCCCTTTCCGGATTTTGCGCCGATACCACCACCCCTTCTCCAGCCGCCTTCGCCTCCACGTGGCGCCTCGCCCGATGGGCCCCCTCAGCCCCACGTCACCCGGCCCCCCCAAGCCCCCATTTCCTGTCACCCCCGCCCCACCATTGGCGAACCGCGCCTCCCCCACCCCCCTCCCCCCCAACTTCCCTGCAAGCCCACCGAAAAGAGTGCCCTCTGTGCGCAGCCAGGCTGCCGCCCGCTGCCGAGAACTCGTTGCCGCAGGCCCCCGCCATCCGGAGGCGCGCCGCGCTGGCGGGCGGGGGGGCTGCCGCGCGACGACCGGCCTGCCGCGGCGCGATGCAGGGCGCGATGGTCGAGCCGGAGGGTGGGGTGGGCGGCCTGGGCACCAGCGCGGCGACGGTGGCGGTGCTGGCGATCAGCCTGATGAGCCTGTGGCGCAGCGTGTATCGCATCCGCACAAGGTGGGGCCGCACACACAACACCATGCGCCCTCCCGAGATCTTTCGCAGCCCTCCCCCGCCGTCTCTCTCTCCCCCTCCCCTCGCCCCCGGCCTCGGATGCTTGCCCAGATGCCGGTGTCAGATCTCATCGCCTCGTCGGGCGCAGCAATACGGGCGGCTCATCGATCTGTACCCGTTCCCCGGGCTCCCCCCCGCCGTTGAGCGGGGGGAGCTGCCGCGCCGCATCCCGCGCCCTCGAGGGTCCCACTGGCCCCCCGGCCGCGCGACATCCCGCCGCCGGGGCGCGGGGACAGGGGCAGACGCAATCGGCGCCGTCCGGCACGGCCTGCGGAGGAGATCCGATGCCTGCGCCGCGGTCGTCAGACTGGCGGGCCGCGCTGCGGGTGCGCGGGCACGCGGTGCCGAAGGGAATCCGCCGGCAGATCTGCGGGCGCCTAAGGGGCTGAATCACGCCCTGCTGGGTCTCGCCGCGCTGTTGTGGGCATCCGAGGGAAGCGAGGGGGGAGAGATTTGCACAGAGCCCTGCATGTCGCTGCCTCGTGCCTACGGCGGATGCCGTCCCAGGCATCGCGGCATCCGCGGCGCCCGCGCTGCCCCTCTCAAGCGAGTCGACCGTCGTTTGCGCGCGTTGCGGGCGGTGGCTGCAGGTGGAACTGATTTCAAGGCTTACTATAGTGGAGGTGACGTAATAGAGAACATGAGCGGGCGCCTCGATCGCTGCCCCCGGAGTGCGAGCATCGTCGCAGTTCAGCGTGACGGGGAGGCCTCGGCTGTGTTGACAGTGTTTGGAGATGCGCCTGGCAGCCTCTCGTCCCTTGACAGCCCACCCCATAAACATATTTAGGGGGTTTTGCTTTGGCCTTGCTAACTGTCCCTGCGATGACGGAGGCCCGGCACTGGTGGTGGTCCTGATGTGTGCATTGTTCCTTCATGGCATTCTTGGAGGTGTACCTTTCATGTTTCCCAGTGGGAAACCTTCTCAAAGAATTTTGGAAGGACTGGGGTGAAGGGCTTGAGTGGCGTGGTTGCCAGTTCATTTGTAAGGAATCTATGGTGCTCCTGTGGAACGACAGCGCTCACCCATTGTACTCTCTGCCTTTCCTTTTCCTATGTTCCAAGGCTGGATTTTCTCATGTTCCCATGCTGGACTCAGCATTCTCACCAAGCAAGCAGCCTTGACATACCTCGCATCCCCTCAACGTTTGTACCTCTTTTGTCCTTGGACGCTCTGCTGCAGCATCTATTCTCACACAGGTGGAATACGGGGGTTTTGCACTCTGTTAACTCACAATCGACAATCCATGAAGATGTCGCATGCAACCCCTCATCTGACGCCGCTTGGACTGCTCCCCACAGGTCCAACGACGTCTGGGGGGTATCAAATGTGGAGGAGGTCGTCCTGGGTGGCTGCGGTGGGTGCAGATTGCCATACAGGCTTAACACCAATAAGCAAAAGCGTCTGTGACGTTGTGCTAATCAACCACCTTCCATCCATTTCAGGCAACATTTGTGTCAAGCACCGCACCAGAGGACGGTAGCAGCGAATCACTGTTTGGTCTTTTTTCTGAAAGCTGTAAGCTCCTGTATGCCCTTAACCTGAATCCATCGTTACTGATATGTGGTATCAGCATAGATCTTACAGCAGCAATGCAGAGTCGAGGTGCAGCTGAAAGGCATATGCCAACAACAGAATGCCCTGCATCCACATGCTGGAAAGAACTGTGGATGTCTTTTTGCATGTTGCAGGCACATTGACTGTTTTCCAGAAGGTCAGCACAATTTGGGCTGTGTTGGTATTGTGACCTTCACCTGAGCAGTCTGCAATAAGCCTTATTGATTCCAACCTCCTGGGGCCCCTCTACGCCCTCCTCTCTTCAGTTCCGGCCGCTTTGGAGAATCCATTCCAGAAGATAATGCCACTCAAGCTTGGCACAATCACTGCCCTTGACGTTGAACCACAGGGCATTATCCTGTTCACACTTCTTTTCAAGAGTTCCTGTTCATTTCAGTTGTTTTTTGGAAGGCAGAGCACACAAGTTACAAAGTGGCCACCCGTCATCTGAGCACTGTTGTTGTCCATGGTACTGATTGTTCTTGCAGTCCCCTCCAGAATACTGATGCTATGCAATGATCTCAGGACAGCAAGCACAAATGCCCTGAAATGAGTGTCGTTTGTTGCATTAATGTAACGGACCCCTCGGTCCGTTTCACAGCACTTGAAGAGACTGGAGAGCGCTCCAGCACATCCTGTGTCCTTGCCAATCTTTTGGTTGAGACTGCAGCAACCTGACTTCAGAAGCTTGATTTGCGTGTAGCAGGCACCTGGGACCTGCCCCCAGTCCACCTCATATTGGCACACAATTCCTTATCCAGTCGAAATCATATCAGGCATCAAGGCTTCAGGCTTTGTCTTGACTGATGCTGAATTCCTTGCACCAAAGGAGCAACATACACATTGCTGTGCTTGGTGCATCAGCGCGTCCCATGCAAAGCTGTATAGTGTTCGGCGGACAAAATTCGTCATCATTGTTGTTTAAGTTGATAGAGTTAACACTTATGTGAGAATACCAAAGACTGAAGCAGTCATAAGACATGACAGGCTCTTCCCTTGTGTCTGAAAGGCATCATGGAGTAAAACAGAGCTTAAGGTCACTCCCAGACCTCAAGACTTTTGGTGACTGTAGCTGAACTTTTAGTAGCTACTATAGATGACTTGGAGGATTGCTTTAGGTGCTTTGGGGCAGTGATGTTTTGGTTCAAGACTGGGTGCTTGGTATTTTTGCCTTGCAACCACCTTTGGTGGCAGATTTTCTGTTTTGAACTTGCGAAAGAGCTGTTCGAAGCAAGCTGGGCTGATGTGTTTTCTGTGCTGTCCAGTGCATGACAACCTCCTGTTCGTGTACCGTCTGGTGGTGTTCGCCTTCTCTGCGATTGTCACAGCGGTGCACTACCGGATGAAGGGCCACAAGCCTTTGAGATTTTACACCAAATGGTGGGAAGACAGAAAGCACAGTTCACACTTTTGGGCTGCATTGGTGCAAAATTAGGGTACAGGAGTACGTTGAAATGTACTCAAAACTTAGTACTTGGCATTGTGTGGTGTTGTGATGTATCCAGATTTCCTGTATTGAAGATCCTCCCAGAGTTACTGCTCGGGAGGAGGAGGCTATTGGGCCATGCCTGCCTTTCTTTCAGAGAAAAGGCAGACTGGCCGGAATGCCTTTTAACACATGTAAACCATCTTGCACAGGTGTTAGCCAGCTGAAATGTTGCTGGAACTTATATTCAGCTGGAAGAGCATCATGATTGGTCATGTGTTTATTGATCAGAGCAATGTGTGTGAACGAGAACAGTGCTGTCGCCAAGCGTAATTGCCGCAAGCAGGTGCTGAAATGCATTAAGGCCTGCAGCACTGAAGGCTACGCAAGGCAGGTTTTGTGTAGTGCGGCACAGTGTATCTGCAGAGGGTATCCTTCACCAGATGGGAGGCCTTGTCAACGGCCACAGGGCCAGGGTGGCCGCTGAATTGCCTTGGTTGAAGTGGTGAAGCTTGGCTGCATCATCTTTGTTCATTGTGTGGAGATGCTAAGATTCCTAGGCAACAAGTGCAAACAAGTTGACAGAGATGACCTCAAACAATATAATGCATAATGTACAAATAGTACATAAGAGGTACAGGGCTGCCGGGTAAGTACATAGATGGATAGATAAAATAGAAACGAACACATCCCTGAATAGGTTGCACACAAGCCGCGCCTTTGAGGCACAGCACCCCACGAAATTGCGTCCTCTGTTCTGATTATCACCACTCCTTCTGCTTCTGCACAGGAATTTCTACTTGCTGACGCTGTACTTTGGCCTGGTGGTGTGGGAAACGTACTGGTTCAAGAGGAGGACGGCCAAGAATCGGGTGCACCCCTTTGGGCCTGGCTCGTATGTGGCAATTATCTTGTACCACATCAACATGACGGTGGGTGCAAAGGGGACTGTCAAGTGTGTTTGGCATGTGCCGCCAGAGCTTTGTTGTGTGTTTATTATTTGGTTTATTTATGTTGTTGGTGCGTGTTTTCGATCAACATGGTGTCTGGACAGAGAGCATCTGGCCTGTATGTCCTGAAAGTAGCTGCACACCCTTCATGGCTGCAATGCAAAGTGTCAAGCAGTACAGAACGGCAACCAGTGCAAGATCCCAGCACAGCGATCAAAGGACTGTAGTTCTGGAGCACTACATTTTGGGCTGTCCATTCAGAAGATATGACACAGATACAAGCAAGGATGTGTCCATGTCCTGGGTATGGGAAGCCCATATCTCGGACATCGAGGGATGTTGGAGACGTATGGGCATTGCCCTGTACCGAATTTCAACAGAGGCAATATGATTGACTGTTTGCAGCAGAGAGCAACAGCGCCCCCAGTTTTGCAGTGCAACTTGGGTAGCTGCAGTGCAGAGTGAGCTGTTGTCCCTAAAGTTGTTTGGCGAGACAATGCTGAGCAAAGTCGCCCTGAGTGCTGGTGAAGCCCGTAGCATTGTGCTTCTGCAGACCATCTGGACCGTGGACCTGGGCACGTGGACTGTATTGTATCCCCATGCGTGCAAGAATGCCGCCCTGGCCGACATGTGCCGACAGTTCATCCTGAACTTCTTCAGCTATGTTGAGGTGAGGGGTAGTTGGTGAAAATTGGCACCTAAAACACCACTGAAGAGGTTATTGAAATCTTCTATCAATATATGGCCTGAAATGTGGCCCACATTCTTCTTTTCCAATATTAATGCGCGATTTGAATGCAGACTCAGATTGTGTCAAATTCATGGTGGTTTTCCTGTGGCAGCATCCCCTCGGGATTGATGTACCATAGTCTGTTCAACCTTTCTGCATAGTAACGTAATGCTTGGCCCTTTTTTGCCGAGAAAACAATAAAAAGAAAATCCTCGTTGTAATCAAATTTATGCAGAGCAGTGTAAAAATAACAAAAATAACATTCTGAAAGTAAAATGTGGTTAGAGTTAGAGTGTTCTGATGTGAAAGTGTTGAATATTTTACGGTATGCACTCCCCAGGGTGCCGTTGTCTGAATCGCTACAGGGACTGAATCCCAGTGGTGCTTGTGTAAATCGTACTGTGGATTATGTACTGCTGAGAAAGATTGGAGACAGGTGCAGGCAATCCTTTGATGCCATGTTTGTGCTGTGTGCACACTGCCAGATGTTGCCAAAGCAGCGTTAGGGTAACGTTTCCTTGATCTTGTTTGATCAATCCTATTTGTTTCCTTCATTCCTTCAAGGTGTGTGAATCAACGTCAGTAACAGGAATTTGTACAGGGTTAATGCCACGCAACGATAGTTTTGCTTAAGCCGTGAGCAACACGGGTTAACTACTGAGCTGCCTTGTTCATGACTACACAGCAACAGAAGAATGCAACTGTAACTGTTACTGTGCTGTAAATAATGTACTGGAGTAGTTTGCTGCAGTGTGCTCGCAGAGTGCTTGCTTGCTTGGGTATTGCCTGCATTGGCACAGGGCAAGGGTGCCACTGCCTGTGTCTTTAGAATGCTTGCACTGCCTTGTTGGGAGCATCGCCAAGCGCTTAGTCACAGCGAATGGCATGTGTGGAAGAGCACTGTCTATGCTTTGCAGAGTAGGTGGTGCTTTAACAGTATTTTTAGTTCCAGTTGTTGGTATTGAAATGTAAAGAAATGTTTGGAATGGAGTCAAACATGAATGCTGATGGCACGTATAAAGATAGGTTCACGGTTGCATGGCAGTTGAAGGGCTGCTTCGATCGTCGTTGTCGGTGCTGCTGCTGATCGGCTCAAAGGCTGCTCGGAACCTGCCAAAAACAGGGCGTGTGTCCATGATTCATACCTAACACCCTTCGTCAGCATCCGCAGCGATTCACAGCTTCGTGCTGCTGGTAGTTCGTATACGATGCCCCTAGAAAAGACGCTATGGTGATAGAAAAGGAAACAATAGCCCTGCTGTGCAGATGGGTTGTAGCACTGCCCAAAGTACGTGGGCTTGGGTGCCAGGCTGTTGTTCAAAAGCACTGCACGGCGATCATCTATTGGACTCACCAACAAGCGAAAAGTCACCAGCCCGTGCCAGTGGTCCACACCCACACACCGATCTCGTGGGTGTCAGGGAGTCATCTCAAAGGCATGACAACTCAAAGTGCTGGGGGTTCTGCTTCTCAAATGAGCAAGCCGCACATGGGGGATTACAATGACCAGATACTAAATAGCCTAATGGGATGCAAAGGCGCCTAGAGGTCAGTGAGAGTCAGCGTTGCCGGGCGTGTGGGTCCGAGGTGGGACATCACCCACGCTGGTGGACGCCTGCCTCCCTTGCAAGCGGTCGAACTGCAATCGCAAATACACCCATCTCGTGTGCTCTTTATGCCTGTGGCCGACCCCCTCACCCATGCCCTGCTGGTGTTCTTTCCCAGCACTTGGCCAATGCGTTCCTGATGCTCGGGGAGCTGTTCATGAACCGCATGCCCTTCTTCGACCACCTTCGAGGCCAGGTGGGCATTTGGGTTGTCTCCTATGTCTTCTGGTCGTTCGTCTACCATCTGCACACTGGGATGTGGGTGTATCCGGTGAGTGCTGGCTTGCTTGCATTTGCAGTTGATGATTTGATTGATGTGTTTGGATTGTTGTTGCATGCGTGCACTTCAGCCTGTACTGTTGTCGATGATTGTGTGACACATTCGAATTGACTCGTTCATTGATTGATTTGATTCCAATTCTTCATGTCTGTGTGTAGTCTGAACTGATTGTTGAATTTTCATTCTTTGTATTGATTGTGCACGCGATACTTGTTGGAATAGATATGCCTGATGTACGAGTTTTCGTTTCACTTTCTTTGTGTTTGGCTGGATGCGTTTCTATTGTAACGTCAGGAAAGTATTGCTCAAAGATGCAGCAGCTTTGGTCAGTGTAGTCCAGCCTTGGGCGTTTTTGCAGTTGGCCTTGAGGAGAGCTTGTTCATGTCATTCCTGGAATCCACAGCATTTGTCATCGTCGCTGGAAGCGTTTCAAGCATCTGCTGAAATACATAGATGGATTGAATATAGACTACTTGATTGTTTTTGGGTGGTGTTGAGCAATCAGACCAGCAATGCCGTTGCAGCCACTCCACCGTGGCTCCATGCCGCAGCTGCAGCTTGACGGCGGATCCATGTCTGTCCGCAGTTCGCAAATACAACCAAGGCGTGGTCGCCGTTCGTCTACCTGGCGACGTTTTTCGCCCACTTCTGCGCCTACAGGATCTTCCACCTGCTGCACTGGGTCAAGAACCAGACCCTGCTGAGGGACAGGGTGTGGCCAGAGACGCTTCTGAAGGAGGACTGAGGCACCATATATATAACCACCGTGCAGCAAACAGCCGCGCCCCACATGCGATTGTCGCATTCGGATGCATTGCATGAGTATCGTATGGCCAGTCGTGTGCGGTGGCCAATGCAGCGCTGCCACCGCACGGCTGGTCACGCTGGCGCGGGGAGTGGGTCGGGGGCTCAGCGGGAATTCAAATGTAACAGTATCTGTCCACTGCATGATTTGTGGCGGGGCGCCAGCGTGGGCCGCAGGGCCCGTCGCTCGGCTTCTGCTGGGCTCGTTGGAAACGTCGAACCCTTCAGATGCCGTTTGGGGACTGGCGTTGCGCACCGTTTGGGGGGATCCCGTCCTGGAACAAATGTTTTTGAAATTTGAATTTTGAATTCGAATCTCAAAATTCAACTTTCAGAGGGGCCCAGCGCGCACCGAGTGGCGGCCGCCGTGGATGGACGTTCGGGGCAACGGGGGAGCGATAAGGGTGTCATTTCTTTGAGATAAAGGCAGAACACTGCTCTGATATCGGGAATTTGGATTCATTCGGTATCGGTAGGGAGTAGGAGTCGCGGTGGGAGCGGGGGAGGGCAACGAGTGGGGAATTGGCGGGGATTGTGTGGAAAAAAAGCGGAAAGGGCATTCAAACATTCAAATATTCAAGTAAAAATTGTTGGAGCGTGGACAGTAGTTCGAGGGACCTGCTCATCTGACGGGAGCGAATCTCTTCTTATTCCGAGGCTGTTTGAGTTTTAGTTCGGAAGGCCTTGCCACCACGGGCGGGCGTCGTAGAGATGGTGCCACTTGTGGCAGGCGGAGGGGGGAAGCTGCCGGAAGGTGTGCGGCAATTGATGGGAAGCTGTCGCAAGGTGCGCGACGGCTGAAGGGAAACTGCCAGAAGCTGTGCGGCACTTGATGGGAAGGTGTCGTAAGTTTGGAGGGAAGCTGTCGGAAGTCGTGTGGCAATTGAAGGAAATCTGTCGGAGGCCGGGCAGCAATTGGAGGAACCTTGGGACTGGTGTTGTTATTGATAGAGCCGTGGGATGATGTGCTGCAAGCACGTGCCAGCAGCTTGGCGGGAATCTGGAGGAAGTCTTTGTAATAACTCTGTTGGCATGGTCTGTTGTTTTCATACTGATGGCGACATGCGCACAGTGGAATGCAAGACATGAATTATGCAGGACTGTGGAACAGGAACGACAAGAGTGGAAACGTCAAAAACGCACAGCAGAGTTTTGAAGTAAGAAAGGGTTGCACACTGTCCGCCAATTCCTGGAACATAGGAGATAGCCGCCATTGGCCATGCCGGCCGATGAAAGCAGCGTCAGTGATTTCGAGGAAAGAGATAAAAGCGTTGCTTCAATCCGCTGATCAGTGGCTCGCTGGAGCGAAGAGATATTGTTGGCAAGGGACCAGAAACCACTCGTGCGAAGTTATGCATTAGGGCTCCCAGAAACCGCCCCATTACACAGAAAATGGCGATGCCCGTGTTCACAATCAAAAACAGAACGAACACGTGAAGAAAGCATCTCCATGCGCCCTAACATACGTGCCAAGCTTACTGGATCGGCAACCATGACAGACCCAGCTAGGCCTATCGCCAACCCGACCAGTCTCATTAGCACATGCATGCCAGCATCCAGCACTTCCATGCAATGATCGACACGCACGGCAACGAAATCCCCAACGCAGGCAAGAGCCGCGTGCTAGCCACCCCATATTGTCCAAAATCCTCACCCCCACAGACCTACGCTTGTGAATCCACAACTCGTGATTGAATCCGCAACCCCCAGGCAGGCAGAGCAGCTCCAGGCCTCCACGCGCGAGTGCTGGCGAAAATGGATCCGCGTAGGAACATCATCATCATCAAAATCCATGGATTACATTTGTCACAAAATGACGAAACACAACCCGTGGACCTGGTAGGCGATGATGGGCGTGAAAACCAAGCGGATAGTGTGCTCGGAATCGATTATTCATGGTCCCATATCGCCACTCCATATTGTCCCATGAAATGCAGTGATCTGGTATGAGTAATGAAATCCCCGTGGATTATGTTCAATGTATGTAGCGAAGAAAAATCAATCCCAACCCTCATGCACCATGTCCCACGCGAGCCCAAGCACATTGTACCTATGTTAGAAAGCGCACCAAGATTCCAAGGCCTTGTGGCACTACTGAAGAAATGTCCCACGGAATTGTTGCATCTACCAAACGCCTCGCAGATGCATGGCATGTGAAACGGGCATTTGAAAAAGCTGGACAATCCAAGAAAATATGTGCGCGATCCTCCCACCAAAACCCACATATACGGCAAGCTGGCGAATCAAAGAACTGGCAGCGAAAAAGAAATAAGCGACATGGAAACGCATCAACCAAAAATTGACATAGAAAGGCGACTTCTGCACGTGAAAAGGACTTTGCCCAATCAAGGGAAGGTGTGTGAACATCCAACTCACAGCCAAGGCGCAATGCAGCGCTGCCGTCCGTTGCCAACCATGATTAGCCCGTGCATTGTAGTATTGGGTCACGCGCCACTTGATAGCTTGGGCACAATGGGTTATCCTTGGAGCTTGAGCGCCTGAAGCTCCCACCCCATCACTGGCTGCAGTCGCAAGGCCATCCTCTGCTTCGTCTTCCACCACGTCGGCATGGCCGGGCACTCACTGTAAACAGACACGGCACCCAGCCGCAATGATCTCCGGGAGCAGGCGCCGTACCTCCACCACAGTCGTTGTGCAGTTCGTCCCACCAACCAACGCCAAAATGGCTGCCTGTGAGTATGTGACAAAACGGGCCTCCACGGCCGATCTCCAGCTCCTGATCAGAATGCCACCCAGCTCAGCGCCCAGGCGGATCGCCTCCAACTCCAACCAAGTGCTAGAGCGCAAACCCGCTGATCTGCGAGCAGGCTTGGTTTTTACGCCGTAAAAACTGATCGTATTTACGTTTTTACGCATAAAAACAGTTTTTACGTTTTTACGCGTAAAAACAGTTTTTACGTTTTTACGCGTAAAAACAGTTTTTACGTTTTTACATGTAAAAATGCGTAAAAATACGTAAATACAACGTAAAAACTGCCTGGTGTACATAAGGGCAGTGCATGCAGACTTGCGGAGTCCGGAGAGTGGCAGCCAGACGCCATGGAAGGGGCAGAAAACGAGCTTTTGTTAAGCCCCATCATCGCCCTTGCCAAAGGCGATGTAGACATTGTGCTGCGGGTGCTGGAGATGGCCGAGCACTGATCATTGTACGCGACTTTCGCCGTGTAACCTAGGTGTCGCAGGGACCCGTAAAAATAGCCTCTTTTGCAAATTTACGTTTTTACGCGTAAAAACATAAAAGTAAAAACGTAAACGTAAACGTAAAAACCAAGCCTGTCTGCGAGAAACGGTAAAGAAAGCATCCCGGTTTCCAAAAGTCCAAAGAGCTCCAGCCCCAGCACCACAATCCTTCACGGAGCCACCAGAAAACGCCCACAACACCTCGTCCTGAGCTATGGCACGCTCGTGGCGCAACAGAGCGGCTGCAGCCTCCTGTGTATGCGGCATGACAATATCCACCGGCAGCCTCTCCGCCCACGGCTCGAATGGCCATAAGCAAAGCCGCTCAACCGCTGGTGTCTCATCCAAAACGTCCTCAGGGAGAGCGCCCACCCTGGCCATGCGCCCAAGCTCCTAAACAAGCAAGTCCCGCGGAGAGAAATTGGGCGCCACGAACCGCCCCTCTGGGGCCCCCGGGCCCCGCAGCAGATCCACCCCACCCACAAGTCACCATGCCACTCCAACAGCAAACGAGTAATCTCCTCACCCCCTCCCGTGGGTGCCATAGCCCTGCCAGCACCCTCGCTGCATCTGTCTGGGTTCGCCTGAGGAGGCCGCTAGTTAGGCGCCCCGCCACAGCCACCGTCCTTGCCATGACCGACTTCCGGGCACAGATGCAGGAGGCGGTTGCCCAGGCAGGTTCCTGATAGTGCAGAGCGGGGAGGGCATCCCCCGTCACCAAGAAGCGGATGACATGTGGGTGGGCCCCCAGTACGTGCCACAAAGCTGCTGAATAAGTCGGAGTCCGGCCCGGCATCTGGTGCACGCTTCAGTCACATGGTCTCTCCAGCGCAATTTGTTGTCAATCGTCACACCGAGTAATCTCATGGTCCTTTGAGGGGTGAGGATATGATGTCCCAACTTTAAAATCGTAGATGTCATGCAGATCCGGAGGCGGCCAAGGTGCAACAACACGGCCTTGGGCGGGCCGAACTCCATAGGAGACTGTATTGCCCACTTGTACAGCCGATTCAATGCCACCTGGAGCAGCCAACGGCCCCTACTCAACCTGTCCATCTCGAGCCAAATTATTGGATCATCAGCATAGCCCTGCACCTCCACCAGCCCCTCAACGGCTCTTATAGCTGGATCAATGAAAATAAGGAATAGAATTGGTGAGAGTGGTGACCCTTGGGGCACACCAAACGCTAAGTGCCATGTCATTGTACAATCACCCACTCTCAAGTCAGCCCGGCGATCCTAAAGGAAACTTGCTGTCCACCGTGCGATGTAAGCTGGTGCTCCAATGGCCTGGCCTCCAATCTTCTGCATTTGGAAAAGCAAATTGGTGCCCGAAACCCTGTCACAATCACCTCTCAAACCCAGAGAAATTGCACTAATCTGTCTACCTCGTTTGAAGGCCATGGTGGCAGCCTCCACAAAGCGCCAAAGGGCAATTTCTGTGCTATTATGTTTTCTAAAACCAAATTGGTTGGCTGATAATTTTTTATGGTGCTCAAGCCAGTACGTTAGCCTTTCGGTCGTCACATATTCGACCAATTTCCTCATCACAGGCAACGATGAAATGGGCCTAAAAGATTCAGGTAATGTCCAGTCCTGGCCCACCTTGAGAACTGCAATTGCGATCACCTTTTTTCATGACACCGGAAAATGTTGTAATATGAAGCTAGCGCTTGTAATATTGGTCATAATGGGCGTCATTAATTCCCCTGTCGGTCGTAGGCACTCGTTGGTAATGTC